CTGCTTACTAACACCTTTAGGAGCTTTCCCTGATCTCTCAGAGAGAATCAGCTGTATTTTCACAATACACAGCAAACATCTCTACTTAACAAGAGTGCAAGCCTTCCTTTCATATTATGCAAATTAGCCACTTGCATATTAGCTGCTTTCACCACTCAAGAACATGAACACTCTTGTTCATAAGACAAACTGAGGCCTTAACTGAGGATTAAGGATTTTGGTGGGAATGAGACAAAAGCAAAGAACTGTTAGGACTGGGGTACCAGGGAGCAATATAATGGAATTAGTTCACATCATTGTTCAGTGGGGCAAGTCACACTTGTGTATATTTCATGCATCATCATCTCAGATGGTCTTTTGAATAGATACCAGTATTTCAGTTTCAGGTAAGTTGTTTGAACTGAAATAGGACTCTCAGAATACGGGTGAAAATATAGTGAATATGACCCTTTTTAAAAGGTTCGGTGACAGTTAGGGCTTCTTTCAGATGAGCAGATGTTCAAAAAATGGCTCTAGCCTCAGAATGAAAACCAGTTAAGAAACAAAGTTAGAAAACAGGATCCTTGTTGTTAACAGGCCAACTGGACAGAGCAACAACATAATTCCAAACCCTAATTTCTCCTTGTAGGAGCCAACCTTGTGAAATCATTAGCAGTTTTTTGTCTGGATAGATGGAAAAGTGGGTAGGTGGATAGATGGATAAGTTAGACAGACAGATAAGGTTAGGTTAATATGTAGCTAAAATAAATGCACTAAATTTTCAGCAGCAGTTATCTGTGTTTTGGGACTTTGAGGGGTTTTTTTTCCATCATTTTCTTTCCATTTTCCCCAATTTTTTATGGAAATGTGTCTTATTTTTATAATCAGAAAAGGTGATTAAAACATATGTGTCTATGTAATATCGCTTCTTCATTTGACTAAACCAATAATTCTCAGCCCGGGGCAATTTTGTCCCCCAAATAGCCTTTGGTGACGTCTAGAGACATGTTTGATTGTCACAACTGAAGAGTGAGCTATTGGCATCTAGTGAGTAGAGGTCAGGGATGTTTCTAGACATCCTACAACATACACAATGGTTTCTAAAACTCAAATATTTTAGAAAATATAACCTCTGCCTCAGAATTAACCAAGTAAAAATAACTTCTGGACTGATGAATATTGGAAAAGATTGTGTTTCTTGTTTAAGTTTTATATAATTGACTAGCAAGATCCTCGTGTCTTAACAAATTCTAATAAATATATATTGGGTTGAGTTGAATTTAAAGTGTATAGTTCTTTTGAACACAATTAATATAGGTACAAAGATATAGTGTAAATTTTTGAATTAATAATTAAGAAGTATATTTTTCTAGACCCATCTTGAATCAAGAATTAACGTTGATTTATTCAGTAGGAGGTTAGTGGGCATCTATCACTTTGTCAGATGTTCTGTGGAGTATAAAAGTAACATAAAAAGCATTCCCTGACCTTGAGGAATTTGCAATCTAACCAAAAAGATAGAACATGTCCTGAGAAAGTCATTTTGTTCCAGAGCAAAACAACACACGTTTGTGTGCCAAAATGAGTAGTAAATTAGTGCAATAGGAGTTTAAGAAACAGAAAAAAAGTCAGTATGTCTGGAATTGTCAAAAATGGCTATAAGACAAAGAAGAGAATTGGACTAACAGACTGATGGGTAGAATTTCAACATAAGCAGCAATCAGGGGAAGGTATTGAAACGCAGAAAAAATAGCATGAACAAAACTTAGAAAGACTGATCATAAGCAGGTTGATAAGGAGTGAGAGAACTACCTGGCTGAGCAGGTATTAGATTCAAACTAATTCAAAGCAGTTCGGATTTAATTATGGGGAAACCTATTTAATTATGGTGAAAATCAAATGGGTATTATTAGTAATACTCTACAGAGTGAAGTAAGAAAGAGAAAAACAAATATCATATATGAATGTATATATGTGGGATCTAGAAAAATGGTATAGATGATCTTATTTGCAAAGCAGAAATAGGGTCACAAACATAGAACAAATATATGGTTAGCGAGAGGGAAAGCAGGTGGTGGGAGGAATTGGGAGATGGGGATTGACATATATACTCTATGAATACTATGTATAAAATAGACAACTAATGAGAACATACTGTATAGTGCAGAGAACTTTACTTAATGCACTGTGCTGACTTGTATGGGAAGAAAGTCCAAAAGTGAGGAAATATATGTATATGTATGGCTGATTCATTTTGCTGTATAGTAGAAATTAATGGCTCAAATGGTAGAGTCTGCCTGCAGTGCAAGATACCTGGGTTCAGCCCCTGGGTCGGGAAGATCCCCTGGAGAAGGAAATGGCAACCCACTCCAGTATTCTTGCCTGGGAAATCCCGTGGAGGGAGGAGCCTGGCAGGTTGGGGTCACAAAAGAGTCAGACATGACTTAGTGACTAAACAACAACAATACAACATTGTAAAGCAACTACACTCCACTGAAAATTAAGAAAAAATGAAAACCCTGTAAAATATCTAAACCTGTGAGTGGGATAAACATGCCATCCCCAAAGCTGTGTTTTCAGTTTTCATCACAGAGTGATTACTTGACCTCAAAGGACTTAGCTTCATCTTCCCACACGTACAGAACTTTCTACTATATAAAGCAACAACCTGGCCTACATAATGTACCTAATATTCCATAAAAGTGGCCAAAAGCAGAGACAAGCCAGATTTAGCCATAGCCTTAGGTAGCATTTTCCCCACTGTGACTACAAAGATAGCAGGAGTCCCCATTTCAGAAGAGAAGTCCTCTAATTAAAGAATGATTTTAATTACTTTAACTAATATCCTAATATTATGTTTTTGTCAAGAGAATCAGAGAACAAGTATTCCATTTGGTTAAGGAGTCTTACAGAAGATAGAAATGAATAATTAATGTTGTTCAGAATTGTTAAACTTAATTCAGTACACATGGATGTAGAGCTAGTAATTAGTTTCAAGAAAAAATAGATCATTGGCTCAAAAAAAAAAAGCAAAAACTTGCCTTATACTTAAATGTACTCTTCAGAACCCTTTCTAATCATTAGAATAAACTTATCTTTCCTGACTGGAGACCCAGAAGAAATAACACTGGAGAATGAATCAGCTTTATACTGTGGACAAGAAGAGCTCCAATGCAATAACAATTGATAATTAATGAAAAAGAATTCCCAAGAAGAATGAACCAATGTGTCTTTAAAATAAAAAATTAACATTTATACCATTAAACCTATAGATACTGTAGTCAAATTAACTATAAAATGAGAATTCTTAGATACCCATAAAAGAGGTTTTGGTAAACGTGAACTTACCTATAAAATTTGTTGGCTGGGAAAATGTTTAGCTGCATATAATAACCTCAATTACAGTGGCTTAACCAAACAGAGATTTTGTTTTCTTTAAAGAGAATTCAAGAGGAAAGTAGGCCTTGGTTCTTATTGATGGCATCATGATGCCATTTAGAACAAAGGTCCTTCTGATTTTCTAATAAGCGTCCTTAGATGACTTCCAATTGCATTGCATTGCCCAGAAGTGCATCATGTGAACCACCCCTAGCTGAAAGGTAGGCTGAGAAATATAGGTTTTAATTGTGTGCATTGCAGCCCCAAATAAAACTTAAAAAGAAGTAGAAGCATTATAGAGACCAATTAGCAAACTCTTTTCAAAACACAAAATCAGTGATTATGCTAAGACCCTAACCATTACAATAGGTTTGTTAAAGCACTGCTAAGTGAATTGGGTAACACATAGCTCCAACATCCAGGTACCACACAAGTCTATTTTCTAGGATTGCTTAAAGTAGGTCATTTTGTGCCTTTAAACTACATTTTTGTCTAATGAATTTCTTGGAGAACAGCCCAAGCACAGCTTGTATCCATTCATAGAGAATGTGTGTAGTGTTGATGATCCTACAAGAGCAAGAGTGATCCATGAAGATTTCCAGTCAGTCAGAAAGGTTCCAGTTGTTATTCCTGGGTGATAACTGACAGAGCTAATCCAGAGAAGTGAAAAAAAGGGGTAATTGAAGGTATGGTATCATACTTTTATTTTCCCAGCTGCTTTCTCTCTGTTATTTTAGTAAAGAAGCAAGTGGTGGTATCTTAAGAGCTGTCAAGCTCCTAAAAAAAAAAAAAAAGCTCAGTATCTCACTGTATCTGGCACATAGTAGGTGCTCAAGGAATAGTTCTTGACTAAACCTTTATCTGTTTACCCTTATCAAAATGTGTACAGAAACCGGTTAAATGGAAGCATTCTCCATCCACTCTAATGGAGCAATCAAACATTTAGTCATCACCCACTCTGTGTGGATAAAAGCTCTCTGAGAAACTGCTTGCTATGATCTCTCCCCAAGAAGGTCTTATTCTGTATTTTGTGTGACCTGGCAGATTTTTTCTGACTCACATCCAATGTTAATTAATCAAATCTATAGGAATTGGTTTCTAAGCTATTTGGCTATCAAGCAGATTATTAACATTGTAAAATCAATTTAAAGCCATTTTCAAGTGTTTAAAATCCCCTTATAATTTCCCAAATCAGCATATAAGTCAGTTTGAGATGGTTGGGGACTATCAGTCAATACATCAGTTGATCAAGCACTGAATTGATGTTGAGCAGCATTTGAAGATGGGTGAATAACAGCCCTTGCCCTTGATGATTTATGATCCATTTAGAGAGACAATAAGTGTGCAGGGGGAAAATCATGAAATCGTGTCACATTGCATTTACAATTTGTCAAATTAATAGAAAAGACAATAAATGATTCTTTTTGCCCAGAATACCAATTAGTTTGGACTTGACTAAAGTAGAAACATGAATCAAATATATCCTGGTATGTAACTGAAATTTGAGACCCTGATAGGAGTATCACAGCACTTTGAAGATTGGAGTGTGACATCCTGGTTAGCATAGATAAGATATAAAGAATCCACTTGAACCAAAGGAGGCAATGAAAACAATTGTTCTTTTCCTTCTCTCTTTAAATTAGGTCATGGAACGAAAGGAGTATTTGAGCTTCTATCTGGATGGCGGAGAACTAAAGAGAATTTGCCCTTCAAAGACAGGGTAGCAGATGCCTATTCGGATGTGATGGTGACCTATACCATGACCAGCTCCCTGTACTTTATCACCTTTGGCATGGGTGCCAGCCCGTTCACCAACATAGAGGCTGTGAAGGTCTTCTGTCAGAACATGTGTGTCTCCATCCTGTTGAACTACTTCTACATTTTCTCCTTCTTTGGCTCCTGTCTGGTCTTCGCTGGCCAACTAGAGCAAAACCGCTACCACAGCATCTTTTGCTGTAAGATCCCTTCTGCAGAATACCTGGACCGCAAGCCTGTGTGGTTCCAGACAGTGATGAGTGATGGACATCAACAGACATCGCATCACGAGACGAACCCCTACCAGCACCACTTTATTCAGCACTTCCTCCGTGAACATTACAATGAATGGATTACCAATATCTACGTGAAGCCATTTGTGGTCATCCTCTATCTCATCTACGCCTCCTTCTCCTTCATGGGGTGCTTGCAGATCAGTGATGGAGCCAACATCATCAATCTACTAGCCAGCGAATCCCCAAGCGTTTCTTTTGCCATGGTTCAGCAGAAATATTTCAGCAACTACAGCCCTGTGATAGGATTCTATGTCTACGAGCCCCTTGCATACTGGAACAGCAGTGTCCAGGAGGACCTTCGGAGACTCTGTAGCGGCTTCACTGCAGTGTCCTGGGTGGAGCAGTACTACCAGTTCCTGAAAGTGAGCAACATCAGTGCCAATAACAAGAGTGACTTTATTAGTGTCCTGCAAAGTTCATTTTTAAAAAAGCCAGAATTCCAGCATTTTCGAAACGATATCATCTTCTCCAAGGCCGGAGATGAAAACAACATTATTGCTTCTCGCTTGTATCTGGTGGCCCGGATGAGCAGAGACAAGCAGAAAGAAGTCATAGAAGTGCTGGAAAAGTTGAGGCCTCTGTCCTTGTCAAAGAGCATCCGGTTCATTGTGTTCAACCCCTCCTTCGTGTTCATGGACCATTACAGCTTGTCTGTCACTGTGCCTGTGCTGATTGCAGGCTTTGGTGTCCTCCTGCTGTTAATCCTGACTTTTTTCCTAGTGATCCACCCTCTGGGAAACTTCTGGCTAATTCTTAGTGTCACCTCAATTGAGCTGGGCGTTCTGGGCTTAATGACACTATGGAACGTCGACATGGATTGCATTTCTATCTTGTGCCTTATCTACACTTTCAATTTTGCCATTGACCACTGTGCACCACTGCTTTACACGTTTGTATTAGCAACTGAGCACACCCGAACACAATGTATAAAAAGCTCCCTTCAAGAGCATGGGACAGCCATTTTGCAAAATGTTACTTCTTTTCTTATTGGGTTGGTTCCCCTCCTATTTGTGCCTTCGAACCTGACCTTCACACTGTTCAAATGCTTGCTGCTCACCGGGAGTTGCACACTTCTGCACTGTTTTGTTATCTTACCTGTGTTCCTAACCTTTTTCCCCCCTTCTAAAAAGCACCACAAGAAAAAGAAACGTGGCAAACGAAAGGAGAGAGAGGAAATCGAATGCATAGAAATTCAAGAGAACCCTGATCACGTCACGACCGTCTGAAGGGTGTAGACTAATGGATTATTTTTCTTTTCCAGTACTGCACAATGATGCAGGGCCGATAAAGCTCAGACCTCAGCTGCTTGGGCTGGCCAGGGGTAACAAGGCAAGGCAGATGAAGAGTGAATTATTTATGACACGTCAAGGTGTCCACTTCCAGGGGGGCAAGAGGGACTCAAAGAAGGGTAAAAAGCTCTTTGAAACCTTGTTCTCCACTAAAGATAAGTTTCTGGATGTGATCTTAGAGCTCGTCCAAGGAACAGACAAATCAAAGGAGTGTTAGAAGGCCAAAGGAAAAGGCTACTTTTAAAAAGAAAATGCTTAGGAGAGATTGAGTAGAGAAGATGGGGGCCTCCAAATAGCAGAGAAGACTTCAGAAAAGTCAAAATTGCCATGGTACTTTTCATATTTGTTTTTGGAATAGGCTGGTCAAAGGAAACCTATGCACTTGGGAAGTACACATTTAATCCTGTCTTAACCAAAGGACTTCCCGACTCATTTTACATGTACATATATATGTATATATGCCATATATACATATACTTAGACTTGTCTTTAGTGTACATCGATGTCTGTGTGGAGGGAGTTGCCCATTTGCAGGCGGGCTGGACTTTCTTTAGAGAGTCCAATCAGCCTTAGCCAAATCTAGATATGTTAATGGCCACTCTACATCATCTCAAGTGGTGCAACAGCAAGAGCATTGTTCAGCTGTGCACTAGGCAAAATAAACAGATATGGGCCCATTAAATTCATACACCATGTAGTCAATCTTTGAGATTCTTGCTTTGGATGACTTTGCAAAAAAACACAAAAGGCATTTGAATTAATTACCATGAGGGCAAGGTTTCAAATCTCATGTTAATGCTAAATAGTTACTATGGCTTTTTATTGGCTTAAAATGGTTCTCTGTATTTGGAAAGGCTGATTTAGCTGCTTTTAGGGAGCTCACCCACTGCAAATGAGCATGTATTGTCCATACAAATGTGTACAAAGGTGCAAAAGTGTGTGTGCGTGAGAGAGAGAGAGAGAGAAAGTCAAGCTATTCCATAGTTACAGTATTTGCATTTTAGATGGTGAAAATATACTGCCATGGAATATAGATAATGAACATAGGAGAAAGTGGACGTAACTCGGAAACTTGTTGGAGAATGAAATAGAGTAAATGAGCCATCACCATTCATCACATGCCCTCAACTGGTTCTTAGTGTAAAAAAAAATATTCTAGTCCTATAAAGTCTCGTGTGTTCCTTGCATTAATATTTGGAACATTAACCCAGGCCACGATCATCACAGTAGTGGTCTCTATATCTACTGCAATATTGTTTTGTAGCTTCTTGCGATATCATTTTTCTTGTTACCTGAAAAGTGCTTGTTGGTTGGCCTCCCTTCTAGGGTGATTGTTGCTCTCCATGAGTGACATAGTAACTAACTGCTGCTGAATTCTCTCTCAAAAAAAGTACTGAGGTAAATGTTTTCATTGCGTTAAAATTTACAACTGCTCCCCAGCAGATAGACTCAATCTGTTGGGTGCTTCCTTGGATGAATGCTGTGCTTCCTGTCACAGAAAATTACTAGAAAATGCCTTTTCCCATGCCAAGTGGTAAAATCAGTTAATTTTCAGGTAGGACTTCACAAATGTCCAATGATCATAAAATCTGCTAGTCAACTCTTTTAACTAGAAGAGCACTACTCTCTGCCACCAACTTTGGTTGCATAATTTAAATGAATTTAGAATATTAAAATATCTAACAAGCAAACAAAAAGCTTCTGGACTCAGGTTCAGAAAAAAGATGGAAACCATCCCATTTTGATTTCAGTATTTAAAAAAAAAAATGAAATTGGTATGTGAATGAAGTAATGAAACCAAATAAGCATACTTTTACAAATGAAGGATTTACCTGAATATTAAGGGAAAGGAGAACTGTTTCTTTATAGTTTCTTTTTAGTTAAATGAAAAACATTTAACTAAATTTTATTTGATTAAATGGGGAGTTTGTTTTGTCCTACCTTGAGGTTATTGAATTTCTATTGGAAATGATCCATGTCTTCTCAATTGTGTTCATTTGGGGAAAATAATAATAGATGGAGTATGGAAAATACTTGCCATGACGTAAGATTATTGTTCATACATTATGTGTAAAGTCGTGTCACAAATAAGTCTAGCCTTTTGCCTCCTGAGCTGCTCTGCTAGGATGAACTGGTATTTGACACTAGCAGACCTATGGACCTTAGTCTTATATCTGAAAGGGAAGTTTTTGAGGCATTGGGTGTTTGGATGGAGGAGAGGGGACTCTTCTTTCACAGTTGACTCATCATTTGTGAAGATTGGTTTTACATCCTTTTCAAAAGATGGGAGGTCATCAGCTGAGAAATTCCATTAGCTATCAGTCCATTTCTTTGTAAAATGTGCCATACTCCATTATTTTACCAACTTTTAAAAAAGCTTGCCTATTTGAGTCATTTTTTTTTCTTGATTTCCTTAGACAATTCCACATGCAAAGAAGATTGGCAGGTTGGTTTATAAAGAAAGCATCAAGCATGCCAGTTGCCAAATCCATGTGGGAATAGTGGCATAGCTACCCCACCACTGGGGCAGTTCTAATATCATGCCCCCATCATTGAGACAGTCTCTATTTGGACAGGGAAAACAGTTCTTTTTTAGGTTAGATCTTCAAGGATCAAAGCGACTAAGAAAAATAATTTCTCATTGTTCAAGTGACTAGAGGTGTGGAATTTTGGAAGGGACATTATCTTTTCCAGGACACCATGGTACTCTTTAGTGAACTGCAGCAATAATTTATTGAAATGGAATTTCTTGTTCTGGAAGAGTTAATATACCACACAAAATGCCCTAACTTAGTCTTTGGAAGCAATTTAAGTCTAGGAAGAATGTAGAATGTAACTGAGCATCGTCTGACCTCCCAACCTCACTGTGAAACATTCATTTCTAAGAATTTCATTCACTGAATGCCAAGATGCATCCTAAAACAGAGGATCATGATTTGCAAGTGACACCAAACCTCTGCCTTTATCAGTAGCTGGTGTGCAACTCTTCAAGTTTTTCAAGTTTACTCCCACTGTCTTTAGTCAATTTGTGAAATATTGATGGTGTTCAAATTAGAAACTTTTCTACTTCTAGAAGATGACCCATCAAGTCCTAGAAAAGAAGAAACCTATGGGAAATATCCCAGATGTGTGGAATATTTTATTTTGCTGAAACATGATTTTCCCCTTAAAGTGAGAGAATTTTAAAGTTTGCAAAAACCAAAGTCCAAACCCTTTCTGAATTTAAACTGGAATGTGGATTTGTTTCCTCCCACTTGAATTTAAATTTGAATTAGAGAGCACTGTAAAAGCTTCACTCTCCATGATGGTTACTAAAGCTTCAAAGAGGTACTCACCTAAATGATAGAAAAGAGATTTGGCTAACAGATTCTTTCCCTCTTATCATTAAAGGTAATCATATGCCAACTTAGACCCTGCACAAGTTTTTTAAATGAAAAGTATACTTAAATGTCATCCCATGAATTCTTTCAGGGACCAGTGAACCTCTTTGAAGGTTGTGCATGAATATTCTATGAAAGAATTATTCTCCACTGTGGCTGTATCATGTGAGTGTTCCTTTCCCATTTTATTCCTATTTGTTTCCACAGACTTTTGGCTTTACCTTGTGAGATTAGAAGAAAAATTAAGACAAATGAAGCTCCTACCATGCCCTAATAGCCATTCTTGATTGTTGAATTCAAGAGGATGAGAGCTTTGTCCATTTTGTAATTACCCATTGCACTTTCCCATAACAAGCTGATCCTCCTAGGCTTGTGGTTAGAGCTAGATATTAACTATTGCCATTCAGAATTACATGTATTTTTTATAAGTTGACTGTAAATATTATAATTACAGTCATATATTTTTATGACCAAATAGTTATGAATGCCTAACACTATGCATGCATTGTTACTAATAGTACACAGACTTTTAAAGACACTATTTTCATGGTGATTGCAACTTTTAGTAAAATTCTATCACCTATTCATAAATGCCTTGTAGGTTTTGGTCCCAAGGGCCTGAAATTCACAGAAATTTCCATCCCAGGAGGAACAGTTTAAAAGCTGCCCTCCCTGGATCTCAATGGCAGCAACCTCTTCTAGAATGTCCTCTGGAAAATCCTGGAGAATAAGTCTGGCTTCCAGGTAAAGGACATAGCAGATTTTATGTTAGTCAGTGATTAAGCACACTATAGTGTCCTGTGTTTGCTAATCTCAAAGTGAACCATACCAAGCCTTGAGAATGGAATTTTGGTGTTGTCTCCTGTGGACTGGGGAACTCAGTCATTTCTTTGACCTCTTTCTAGAGGAATCCTTCTGTTCAGTCTATTTTGTTGATGTTTGCAAATTGTACTGATAATCCTTTCAAATGTGAGCCTGAAAACTGTCATTTATACCAAACTAGACTTAGGAGCACTTTCATTCCCTTTAAAAAACAAAAAACAAAACAAAGCAAAGACTCTTGCTTTTTCTGTGTTATAAAAAAAAAAAAAATGGTGACAAATTTTATGACACTGACTCAAAACCTATCTAGCACTGAGTTGGCATGCCCTTGAAATCTCCCCATCTTCAATCTAAATATAAAACTCAGCATCATCACTGTGGTGCAGGCATTTATCCCAATCTTTTAAGCTGTGATTTGCCAAAAGGTTGTGGAGAGGGGAAATGAGCTAAATATTTTTCTATGGTTTGTCTTCAGGATTATGACAGCAAATATATTTACCAAATGAGAGCAGTGAAATCATGAATGAGAGCAAAAAGCCTGTTTGCATCAGGTTCAGCACAGGAGGGACTATATATAGACATCAAAACAGCAAATTACTTTGATTTCTAAACTGAATGGCCAAGGTCTGATCCACCATGATGTTTTAGTTGGAAGGGCAAGGATGTTGTTCTGTGCTTGAAGTGTGGAACTAGATCAGGCAGCAATTGAAATAAGATTGAAAGGATATTGAGAAATAATGTCTCCTGCATAAAAATTAAGATGTCTATACATTGGGCAGAGAACAGGTAGGAAAATTCCCTATATTTTACATTTTAAGATATAGCACAGAGAACTGCATGGTGCCTCAAAACTATAGATTCTTAACTGCTAGCAAAATTGAACAAATGCCAACAAACTCCATTTGAAGATTGCCTTCTCATTTGTCAGATTCATAACCTGACCTTTGCGAGTAAAGTGCTCCTGAATTTCCAAGCATGAATCAGAACCATAGATCATTTTGTGAATGAAAG